GGGTGATGCCCATCTAGGGGCGAGCATGGGCCAGAGTAGTGTATGTCAGAGCTGAGAACTGCAGCCCACGCTCCACAGTTGCTAACAGGTGTGTGGGCACCATGGCTGGGGGTGCTGCCAGCCTCAGCAGGCGGGCATCAAGGCTGAAATATGGGCGGCAACAGACTCGAGAACTCCAAGGTGAGCATTTGGGCTGTGAAAGTCCCTCAGCCAGGTGCCTTGGCCAACAGGCAGGAACAGGTGGCTGAGCAGCCAGGGGCTGCCAGTGCTCTGATGTGGGCTAACAGCTGGGGGGAGGGGAGGTCTCCAGGGAAGGAGCCTCAGGCAGGCTGGACTGGTCATCTCTTTAATAAACAAGCATGACTCCCTGGGGAGGTTCTCTGATGGCTTAAGGTAGCATGTGCCCTGAGTGGGAGAGTGATTATGTTTTTAAAGAGGTTAAAGGGAGACAAAAGGAAAGTCTGGTTTAGTAAGAAAGAAGTGTTACATTTGGAGGGGTGGCAGGATGTCCATGTGATCTGTGGATCTGCAGGAGGGGTTATGCAGGACCAAACCTAGAGGCAGGCTCAGAAAGGGAGGCATGGATTCAGAAATTTGTGATTCTGGCACCTTACCAAAGGCAAGGGAGAAAGAATTCAGAAAGGAAAGCAAAGTGTCCATACTCACTGTACGGAACAGAGGGCAGGAAGAGCACTGCCTTGGGAGTTACTGGTCCGGCAGTGAGCTCAGGTCAAACTGAGCGCCTTCCGCAGGAAGTAGGGGAACTGTGAGAGTAGACTAGTGTTTCTACTGGGGGTATCTGGGTCAGTCTCATCTGCGTATGAGAGGAGGGTACATTTGGCCTGTCTTACTGATGGTGTAACTAGCTCATTTGATTGAAATCTTTTTTTATCATCTGTTGAATTACATTCTTTATCAGTTGGCTTGCTCAATGCTCTTCCAAGGCATGAACCGCTCAACTCCTACGAGAATGATTCTGTGCAGGGAGGGAGCAGTGACAGCTTCCACTTGCCTGACAGCTTGTGGCCAGCAGCTGCTTTGAGCTGCCCAGCAATGGTTTACATGGTAGGAAGTGGGAAATGGGCTGATTAATCCCAGCTATCCTTCAAAATAGTTTGCTTTATATGCATGCCTTTTTACTTTTGTTTTATAAAGGAAAGTTTGTGAATGTGTAGATTTTATACTTAGCAGAAATTAGCATTGAGCCTCCTGTTAGATCCTGTTAACACCTACATACCTGGTAACTAGCACTGTGGGAGATGGGGGTTGCAGAGATGAATTAAGATGCCTTGTTCTCAAGGGACAAGGAGACAAGACAGATATACAAAGTCCTCAGGAATGATTCATTTAATGTGCCGAGTATAGAGAGGGAGTAATTACCTCTATTCAGGGAGATAGAGAGGGCATCTGCTTGGAGGAGGCAGCTTTGACATGGATAGTAAATGGTAGGTAAGAGCTCATTGTGTAAGAGCTGGAACAGAAAGGAGAGGGACGTTTCAATAGAGCAAATGTCATAAATGAAAGTGTGGAGATAGAGTTGTGTGTGTGTGTGTGTGTATGAATCATCAACAAAATCCAGAAGCACGGGGAATGTGCACAGAACAGTGGGATTGCTCCAGACCAAACTGTGGAAGGCCTTGGTCACCAAGTTAAGGGATTTACATTCGATAGATAATGGCCATTGGGGATCCATGGAGGGTATTGGAGCAAAAGAGTGATGTCAGCCAAGTCTGTGGGGAAAGTCTAATTGTGTCTAATTATAGTTGATGGGAGAGGAGAGAAAGGGACTGGAGATGTGGAGTCAATTGTGGGGATCTGGTGCTGGAGCCTGGAAACAAAGGTGATGGGGAGGGCCAGGAAAGGGTAAAATGGAGAGTGGGTGTGGAAGGCATATGATGATACCAGGTGTCTCGCAAATGTGCATGTCACAGAACGGGGTAAAGAAGGAAGAGCCAGGAAGGGCAAGTTCTCCAAAAATGTGCCTGAGAGACCTGCCAAAGGTAGGCAAGCCGAGTCTAGGAACTAGTGGAAGATGAGGCTTTGTGTTGATTTGCTGGTGAAGCATTGGATTGGAAATTCATGGCGAGTGGTTACTAATGACGGGCTAGTGCTTGGGAGAGGTGCTGGGATGAGGGGAGCGAATTAAGGGTGACGGGATTGAAGTGTCTGTTGGAAGATCCGTCTGAGGGCAGGACTTGGAATGTAAAGAGTCCAGAGTTCAGAAGAGCGGGTAGGAGGTGGGAAGTCATGCTTTGGACATGGAGAGGAAAAGTCTGTGTCACCTGGTAGCACACTGTGTCTGAAGAGTGAAGGAGCCTAGGTTAATGTCACTCCTAGGCTATAGCAGTATCATAAGAGAGAAGAAAACAGCAGAGAAGTCGTGGGGGGGGCTGGAGTCGGGGGCCTGAGGGCATATGCAACTGTTGAGGGGATAGAGTGCAGGGGATGTAAGAGCACTGGGTTTTGTTTGTACATTTGATACGTTCTTGGAAGAAGACTTAAAATATTCTGTCTAGCACACTGTCAGAGATTTGCAAAATAGCGTTTGGGGCTGTGACTATGGACTTAGGGCACTTGAAGTTGAATGAGATCCATAAGGACCAGAGTGAGTAACAACTGAGAAGACGAGAGCAGAAAGGCGGAGGTGGGAAGCTAGAGGCCGAAGAGGAACTATGAAGGGTTCCTTGGCTTTCACTGAGTGATTGGGTATCCACATAGGAAGACTAGAGCAATGAGCTGTGTCACAGAAGCTCTGAAAAGGGGGATTCAGAAGGAAAGGAATAGTGACAGTGTTAAACAAAGGGGACAGGAAAAGGAAGGTGGGGAGAATGGAACAGTTATTGGACGTAGGGTTTGGGGGCTCACTGAGGCCAACCCTGTGCTTACATGACACGCATGGTAATTCGCTAGGCTGCATTATGGGTCCTCACTTAACCGTGCTTCCTTTTCCTCTGTGGTTTAGAGCCTGTCTTTCCTCTTTCTCTAAGCTTTGGGCTTCTATGGGCTTTATTCCTTTTATATGTACATCCAACTTCAGAATGTTCTAAGTGTACTAGTACCCCCAGAGACATCTGTCTTTTTAAACGTGATTCTCAATGTATGAATCAGACCTGAATTAACATCCAAGTAATTTCTTTAAGAGACTTCAGCTCAAATGTCAAAATCTGGGAACAATCACTGTAGATGCCTTCTCCTACCTGCACAGTACCTTCTTGGCCTGATCTGTTGTTTCAGTGTAATTTAAAAGTAAAACTCCATCCTGTTACTTCTATTTCAGTTTGGAGAGTACAGATAGTAATATTTGCAGATAGGGGACTGTCTGATAGGTCTTCATTACACATCTGTAGCCTGGAGGGGTCTCTGGCCCCAGAAGCGCAAAATCCTACTCTTATGGGGAAAGTTTGTTCCCAGCATGCTTTTGTCATCTGGTTGTGAGCACATATTTACACCTCAGCAACAGTGGACATATTCTTGCAAAGGCCTAGGAACCCAATAGCTGTTTCTAATCCTATTCCAAAGAAGACTGGGGATTCCAGGAAGACCCCGCCATCTCTCACTCTTACTGAGTTTAGGTTCCCCTCTCCCCCAACTGCATTTATCAACGTAGGCGAAAAGACATTCTTCTAAATACAGGGGGTGAACCTGGCCCAGGGGGCTGGAGCTCCTGTGGGAAGGAGGTCATTGGAAGGACACTGCACACTGATTTGTAGCTTTTAGCAGGGGCCAGAAAGGCTCGTAGTTAGGGAGAATTACCAGAACGGTGAGTCCTGGTCACCCAGAGGGCAGGCATAGCATTGTGAAGGGCAAGGAGGCCAGCAAGAAATGGAACTCTTTCAAGAGCTCTTTCCTAACCTTTTTGAAGTCTTTTGCTCTTTGTATTAATTTTTATTTTCATTCAATATAATTTAATTTTCTTAACAGCCCTGAAATTTTTATTTCATTTAATATAATTTAATTTTCATAACAGCCCTGAAGCCCATTTTACAGATAAGCTAGTTGAGGTTCAGCACATGAAGGACATGGTGGGCCCCGCTGCGGAAGGGATGGCAGAGCTAAGGTTTGAACCACTCTGCCTGATTCGGAATCTCTTACTAGATGCCACTTTGCCCTTCAGAGGGACAGGTGTAGAAACTGCTTGTATGTAGACAGCTTTTTTATGGTTGTATTTGAAAGTCTAGGACTATGTATTGTACTTCTGTGATTTTTCTTCCTCTCTTCCCCACTCATTTCTTGACTGTGATTTGTTCTTTTGATTGACACGCTGCTCCACCCTACGTCTTGTTTGCATCCAAAACAGGAAGGATTTCGACATCTCCGGGAGAGCTGGTGTGTCTGTGCGCTGCATTCCTTCTATCTGGGGGGCAGGCGGAACACAACTGTGGCTGTTAGGCGGGAGAGCACAGCTGTAGTCAGCCACCAGTTGACACCATGGCACATGGTGCCACCGTCACACTACTTGACTGTGTCTGGCTCAAGCTGCTGCAATTGCTATTTATTGGGGCCATGGTCAGGGGAAGAATTCTATGCACTTTGTAGGAACAATGCCACACGTTCTCATAAAAATATCATGAATCCCAGCCTGTCTGTGTAAAACCCAACTGCTGCTCATCTGTTTCAGGTACCACTCCTGAGGGATTCTGGTTCTGACTTGGAGCTTGTGGGCTTCTGTTGTCTGTGAGATCTTTGAACAAAGCTATATTTTCATTCTGGTTTTAATGTGGCTAAATTAAATAGGATGCGTATTTTGTTGGGCTAATAATGCTAAGTAGAAAAAAGAACCTCGGGGGTTATAAATCACTAATAAATTCGGTAGTGACAGTTGGTAGATACCAACTTGTTACCTTGAGATAACTCAGCGACTTATTGACCACTACTAAGAATAACAAATGTAAATTCTGAATTGCTTAGCTTTTTATTAGGCTGCTTCTACTTTTTTAAACTTAGAATGATGAAATGAAACTGACGGTATTTCCTTTTTTTTTTTTTTTGTTATTTTGCAGAAAAAACCACTGTCTGCAATAATAAAGGAAGTCTGTGATGGGTAAGTGTCACTCGGGATTCTTCTAACACACTCCAGTCTATAAAATGGCAAATAGGCAAATAAAATATTTCCAGCAGAATGATAACATACTATTCATAAGCTACCCCTTGACCTGCCCAGAGTCACTCTGAATTACTATGTGAGAGTTACACGCCCTTTTCTACCAAAATTGATCATTCTTCCTCAAGGAACAGAGAAAGTATGAAATGGCCAGTGTGTGCACAGTGAGGTTGGTTTGATTTATTTTAGGAAGTTGTGTTCCTTTCGTCCTGCCTAGCAGGGAGCAGTCTAAAGGTTCCTGAGGGGAAATATACACTGGTATAAACCGAGAGGACCACTGAGGCCCTCCCTGAAGTTATGAAAGAATCAGAACGATGAGCCCGTGGGTGTCGGCACAGGGAATTTCACACTGACGCAGTTTGCCTACTTCCCTTTGTCTGCTCTAAACAATACAAAGGAAATACGTATATGGTAGTTGCGTGAGATTTTTTTTTTAATTTTTAAAGTAGAACTGTGAAGAGAGTATTACCTGGAATTTACCTGCATAGGAGGCCTCCAGGCCCCCAGCATTCCAGTACTTCACTGTAGTGTTCCAGGCTGCATCAGCTCTCCTGACTGGGGCTGGTCCAACACAGGGATAATTGAATGGTGCCAGTTACCAACATTTTAAATTGCATGCACTTTGTTTGCTTTCCTCTGTCTGCTTCAAATCCTTCAAAATAAGGAGGAATGGAACAATTTGTATTTAAATCCCCATCCCACACCTTGAAGGTCAAATGCTCAGAGGTGAGCAACAGGTTTAGAGTAAGGCCTAGACCAGGGGGCCTCAAACTTCTTAAACAGAGGGCCAGTTCACTGTCCCTCAGACCGTTGGAGGGCTGGACTGCAGGCCCCAGGACCAGTGGGCTGCTAAGCAGGACAGGCAGCGGCAGCAAAAACACCCTGCTGGCCGGATAAATGTCCTAGGCGGGCTGCATGTGGCCCGCGGGCTGTAGTTTGAGGACACCTGGGCCCTAGATAGTCCACATGTGGAATGGTTGGTCTCTGGCTGATGTCATTCTGCTTGAGGAACTGCATGGTGGTATATGTTGGGACTGGCCCAAAGCACTTAATTCACCTAACCCTATTAAACTATAAAAGTAAAAATGGTCACTTTTTTTTTTCTTTTTGCAGTTTTTGACTGGGGGCTGGGTTTGAACCTACCACCTCTGGTATATGAGGCCGGCGCCCTACGCCTTTGAGCCACAGGCGCTGCCCGCCACTTTTGTTTTCTGACCAGTATCTGCTTGTGTTTTTAAGGTGGTCTCTTGCCAACCATGAATATTTTGCACTGCAGCATGCTGATAGTTCAAACTTCTATATCACAGAAAAGGTAAGTTGACCACATTATTCAATCTGGGACACTTGTACCGAAGGAAAGGAAAACATAACTGGTCTCTGTTCAGGACTAGATGTGCTGCTCTAAATTGTATGTCTCTACTGTCTGTGCAAATAGGGCCTGCAGAGCAGCCGACTGCCTCCTGCTACTTCAGTGTCCACGGGACAACATTTAGCCTTTTTATAAGGGCCAGTCTTGTTTAGCCAATTACATTGCCTTTTAACCGTAGACAGTAGACATGCTATTTGCCGCTCTCTTATTGCTTGGTTGAAGAATGTACTTGATACTTAGTGACTTAGTTAAGGTCTCCTTTCTCAGATTTTTTTTTTTCCTTCAAAGTAGCCTCTAACCCTTGCTTAAAGTCCTTGAAACCATGATGAGGAACTGTTTCAAACATGGCACTGTGTAAGCACTAAGAGTGCTCTCTTGGCAATGCCACCATCTTCTTGGGTGATTTTATTTTCTTTGGTAAGCTGGGAGGAGAAGGAGGAATTCATGACAACTTACAATGGCTTGGGGAGCCAGTAAAATTAACATCTAAGAGATTCCCGATAGAGGAAGGGAAATCTAGCACTTATTGAAGACCTACTGTGTGCCAGGAACTAAGCCATCCATGCAAATTGCATCGGTTTGTTGATTTTTCCCTTGAGACTAACCCGGGTTCTGAAACCATTGGCTTTGGTTAACGGCTAAGAAACTAAATTGCAGAGGACACGTGGTTAAATGAGTGTCTCATACTTCCCTCTACAAGAAGAAAATTTAGATCTTTTTGCTTCTTTGATTTTGTCTTTTGGAAATGTCTACAGGAGATCAGCAACAACTTTAGGGAGAGTTCACCAAGAGGCATATGAGCCAGTATGCTCTGCATGTAACCGATAATCTGCTGGGGTTGGTGGGAGGGAAGGAACAGCCTGGTGAACTGCAGTCATTATAGCAGGGTGACCAGTGCTGGAACAGAAGTGAGTATAAAGTACTCTCAAAGGAGGGAGAATCAGGGACCTCAGGCTCCAGTGTCCTGTAGGCTTTGTTTGTCCCAATGGGTAGTCCCTAGTGTGACTGTAATTTTATGTGCGAAGCAAGCAGAAGGTGGAAGCAGTGACAAGGGTCCTGCTGGCACTTGTGACTCACTCGCTGTACCCGGAACAGTGTGGGAGGGCGTTCATTTCCACTGGAGAGAGGTGGGCAGAGGCCTGGAAATGCTTCTCAGAAATTGCTTTGTTCTTCCCATATAGACACTGGAAATTTTATAACTAATCATGTATTCCTCTTCATTCTGATCGCTAGAAAGCTGAGCGTTGACAAGTGGACCAGATTCCGGGCATGTGTTATATTCATTCCGTTTACCTTAATTCCTTTGACTCATTCCATAAACATTTAGTTTCCTGTCCTTATTTTCCCTTTGTAACATTTTCTTCGTAGTTTTCATTTACTTTGTACTACATCTATATAATTCACATGCTATTCTTTGTGATAGAAAGGATATAAATAAAGTTAACTGTTGGCAGCTAGATGTATACATCACCAGAATTTCTTTGCTCACCAGTGAGTGGGTGGTGACATCAATGAAGTTGATTGCGAGAGCAGTAAAAATTGGAGTATAGTAGAGTGGACTAGGTCAGCGTGTATCACGTGTGTGGTTTGTGAAATCTTTGTTTCACATGCCCATATACATAGTAAATGTGGATTGTACTTTCTTTGTTTCTTTTTAAAAACCTTGGGTTGTGGTCAAAAAGCTGCTGAGTCATGAGTAGTCCTGGCTCTGATTAATCTGTAAGGGCTCGTGCTCTCTGGTGGCTGTCCTGTCTTCTGTCAGTGTGGTCTGGAAACCTCAGGTTAGTGGAGGGTACTAAGATGGGGTCCTTAGACTTTAGGGCTCATAAGCCTTGCATAGAGAACTTTTTAAAACTATAGATATTTAGACTGAGTAAGCCTCGGATAAGGCCTAGGAGTTTTTATTTTTAAGGAGCCCTTTAGGGAGAATTCTGATGCTGGATACCCAGGGACCGCTTGAAAAAACGCTGGTCTGGGACCTCTTTTCTAGGTACTGGGCCCCACATGTACAGGGCACTGTGCCCTCTGACCTAAAGTTGTGAACAAAATTCTTCTTAAGAGCATATTTGTGCACGGCTGTTTCTTGGGATAACTTAAAAATTACTAACATCGTGTCATGTTTGTGTCCTTTTTCCTAATTTGAGAAAAGTCAAACTACTGAGAACAAGGGAAAATTATTATTTTTCTGTTTATGGCTTTTTCCCCTAATTTAAGAAAAGTCAAACTCCTGAGGACAGGGGAAAAGTATTACTTTATGGGGCCTTGTAGTAGTCATTTTCTGAGAAATCTTGTTTCACCTGAGGAAAGTCTTAATGTTGAGTGTAAAAGGTACTGGCCACCAGTCTGTCATTGGCTCTTCTGTCTTCAGTGGGTGGTAGCAGAGATTATTCTTTACTAAGAATTTAGGGAATGAGAAGACTCAGATTCCGAGCATAGCCCTTAGTTTGTAAGTGAAATGTCACTGTTCTGCCTCCACGGCTGCCACTGGGTGCAGCTCTGTGTGTGCGCACGACACAGATCTCAACACGCGTGGGGCAGGAAGTCACGGTCAATCCTGGGTCCACTGGGTCAAACTGGGCTGCTCTCAGTCTGCTGCTTAGGCCCATCTAGTTCCTTGCAAGTATTCCTAAACATAGAGACTTTATTTATTTATTTATTTCTGAAATAACATATTTAGCATCATCTTGGTTCCCTACAGCCCAGTGAGTTAGGTAGTATTTGCATCACCATGGTAACCAGTGGCTAATTTTTGAAACTTATGCATGCTGTTAGATACTGATTTTCACTTGTATATGAGATGGCCTCCTTCTTTTTGCCAAAGATAAAAACCACCCATAATTCCAAAGAGAAAATATCCTCTAGCCCTGGCCTAACAAGCTAACAGAACTAGTGGCTGATGGATGCTTGCGATTCTCTTCCAAGATCCTCAGCAAGGCGGACTTTTACTTTTCTCATAGAATTGAAACTCATTTTCCAAAATAGTCTTCATTTGCTTATTGGGTCGTTAACTGGGGTTTATCAGGGCAGTGGGGGAGAGTGTCATGTTAAGTAGCATTTAACAGCAGCATGCAAATGCTTTGGCGAAAGTTAAGATTCAGTTATTTACAAGTTCAAATTCTGCCCCACAAACTTATGTATTTTAGGGTGCTGTCTTGGGGGGGGGGAATTGAAAGTGAATAGTGTGTTTAAGTGGAATTTGTCTTCTGATTAAGAATTCTAGCAGGGAGCTGTGAGCATTTTAATTTAACAACCTCATTGCAGTCTAATGATGCAGGCCCTGTCATCTTCATCTTACAGCGAGGAGAGGGAGCCTGAGGGAGGTTACCCAACCACTTGCGCTGGTCTTAAGTATGAGCCGTGGAACCAGATGGGTCTGACTCCAAAGCTCTCCATGCTATTTCCCAGAAACTCTGTGTATCCACTGTGTTGGTCTTGATTTGTTTATGATGCCTTTTCTTTGCGGAGATCAGGCCAGTGATGCTGATTCTGATTGCTTTAAGTAAATACATGCAAGAAGTTGTGGGCTATGAGCCTGGGTTACCAGCTCCTGTCTATGGCTTCCTTATTCCTTTCAAGGATAACTTGGAGGAAGTTGGAACAGGTAATTTTCTACTCACTAGGGATCCACACAGTTCATTTTTACTTATATTTGCCCTTGGTGTGAACCGTATGACTTCATGACTGTGAGGGAGTGTGAGTGCACTAATATCTTTCTTTTTAGTCAAGCAGGAAAATCGCCTTATCGTCCCTAATCTTAAGTGTGTAGAGAGATGTGTCCCCAGAAAGATGGAGCAAGGTGGAGGCAGCCATTATGAAGTTGTATACTTGTGGGTAATTGCAGTTTTATTGTGATTGAAGGTAGTATTTGGTTCTTTCCTGCTACACCTACTCCAGAGTGTATGAAGTATGGTGAAGTACCAGTGGTATCTTATTTTGATGAATGCTTTAGTTTGTAATCTTAGAGATAAGCTAAGTCTCATCTAAGCCCTGTCCACAAAGCTGGCCCCAGGAAGCTATGGGAAGAAAGTAGGGTTATTTGAGAGGCACCCCTTTTGTCATTCCTGCTACCTAAATGCTCTGGGTTCTCAGACAGCCCCTGAGCCTTCCAGAGTCCCCAGGCAGACAAGTTGTGTGCTCCCTGGGCCTTGTGCGGAGGTTCAACTATGGTGCTTTGGTAGACTCAGCTGTAAGTAAGCAGAGTACAAGCCGTCTCCAGAAAGGATGGGACGCAGAGATAAGTAGTGACGAAGGCCTGTGAGGGATCAGAGTAGATGAAGAAGGAGAGGCCTCTGGCCCCAATCTCCCCCTCTGCTTCGGGTTCCCTGTCTTTGCGTCCTTGTGAGACCTGCTGTGGCTTTTCAGCCCCTGCCCCTCCTTTGGCGCACTTTATTCTGGTCTTCATTACCATCAAGCACAGGAGTTTTAATTTGAGCAAATTCAAGCCTAGGAAAAGTTGTAAATTTCCTAACCCAGCCACATACCCTATGCAATAATCCCTCTTCTGCTGCCTGTGATGCAGTCTAGATTGCACCGGAGGTCACTGTGGCTGCCTCAGCAAGTGACAATCCAGCCTGGTAGACCAGCGATGCTCCTGCCTGCGGCCCTGGGCTGCTCCTCAGGGTCCAGCTCTCAGCAGGCAGGAGTGGTTGGGGCAGAGTGCCTGGTCTCCCTCTGTCTTGTCCCTTCCTCCTTCATCTCTTGGGCCCACTGACTCCCGGTGTTTTTTTTGTGCTGCCCCTCGGGCCTCACCTTCCCTTCCTGAGGGGCTGCCGCCTGCTGTCTCCTCTGTTAAACTTGTGCTTTACCGCTGAATTCTTTTCTGCCTCGCGTGGTGACCAAACCCGACCTCTCTTACCAGCGCTCCCCAGATGTCCTATTGGCTGTTTGTGTCCTTGTCCCTGGCCTCTGGCAAGCATTTCACCTCCTGCACTGGCTGCCTGTCT